ATGGGCACAGGCTTTTTCTTTCAGTTCTGGATTCTTATTGTGGTAAAATACACATAACGTAACTTTTACCATTAGTGACGTTGAGCGCACTCACGATGTTGCGCAACTATCGCTCACATCTAGTTCTGGAACGTTTTCAACCTTACAGGAAACCCCATTAAGCAGTCACTCTCCTTCTTCCCTCCCCCGTAGCCCCTGGCAACCACTCATCTTCTTTCTGTTTCTCTGGATTTGCCTATTCTGGACATTTCCTATAAATGGAGTCATGCAATATGTACCTTTTCTGTCTGGCTTCTTTCACTTAGCATAATACTTTCAAGATTCATTCATGTTGTAGCACGGATCAGTTCTTTCTACCTTTTGTGACTTAATAATATTCCAATCACATGGATATACCACAAGCTGTTTACCTGCTCACCAGTTGATGGACGTTGGATTGTTTCCACTTGTCGGCTATTATGAATATGGCTGCCATGAGCATTTATGTACAAATATATACAGGGACGTATGCTTTCACTTCTTTTGGATATATATACATAGGAATGGAATTGCAGGGTCATATGGTAACTCTATGTCTAACTTTTTGAGTAACTGTCAAACTGCCTTGCACTGTGGTTGCACCATTTTATATTCCTACTAGTAGGGTGCAAGGGTTCCCATTTCTCTACATTCTCTCTAATCCTTGTTATTTCCTGATTATTATTATTTTTATTATTGCCGTCCTAGCGGGTATGACATGGTATCTCACTGTGATTTTGATGTGCATTTCCCTAATGACTAATGATATTGAGTATCTCTTCGTGCGTTTGTTGGTTGTGGGAGAAAACGTCTGTTCAAGCCCTTTGCCTGATTTTGAATTGGGTCACTTGTCTGTTGTTGATTTGCATATATACACTCTGGATACTAGGCTCTTATCAGTTACATGATTTGCAGATATTTGCTGTAGGATTTGGATGCCAGGTTGATTTTGTTTATGCCACCCTTTCAGATATTCCAGCATTGTTGGAAGAAGTCCTGGATGGTTTGTAACTCTGTATTTCCAAAAAGAAAAGATATCAGTAGTAAATACCAAAATCAACGGGAAAAATGGTTCATTAAAACTCTGGAGTTAGGGGTGAGGATGGGGGAGGGAGAAAAGTACGTCAAATGTTTAAAGTTAATGACAGATGAGGGAAAAAAAAGAATTTAAAATATGGAAATTACTTTTCTGAGAGTCAGTATATCAATTACAAGGAAAAAGAGGAGGATGAAAGATGAGAAATTTAAAAGCAACAAGAGAGATGTTTGTTTTCAAAACCTTAAGACCATTTTTATTTTCAGATGAGGTTAGGTAACCACAAGGCAAAATTAAAAGCAACATAAATTAGCATATTTGTTTGGGTTTGAGGTCTCATTTGTTAACACAAACACTTTCAACTTAAAAGAACTTCTGGTAAACCAAATGTGAATTTTCAATACTACTCCTATTTATAAAAGAGGAGGAAAAAAAAAAAAAATGAATGAACCCAGTGAAAGCCATTCTTCCTAAACAGACTGCTGACTGGTGTACAGATGGTAAGAAAATTCTGCTCTTGCTGAAACTTGCAGAAAAACTCAGCAGATTTTGCAGCGTTTAGAACTGCTAGCCAAATGAAATATGATTACCTCCATATGATTTGTATCAACTCCAGTTAGCAGAGGTATAAGTAATCATTTCTTTAGTTATATGACTTTCTACTTGTACTTCTGAAGATATGTCAGAAATCTGTATTTGAATCAACTGCATTTTATTCATATACACAGGCACAGACCGAAAGACAAAATTATCTGAAAATATACTTCCCCAGCAAGTGTCTATAGAATTAAGCTTTTTGAAAGAGAAGAGGGCACTCTTTCATATGTGTTTAAATATACTTTGGCAGGCTGCCTGACATTTAGTTTTGATTATAATAAATTACTATTACTACTACCTATATGTTATGATTTCTAGCCATGGTTTCTCAGAAGAGAGTAGTAAAATTAGTGTAGGCTGTCTGTTAAGGACAGTGAGGGAATTTCCCTTAATTTTCAAAGAATAAAGGAACACAACAGTAGAAAAGACAACAGCCTTGAAGTCAATCAACCACCACATAAAGTAACTATGAAATGGGCCTCTCCTTAATTTTCAAAGAGTAAAGGAACACAACAATAGAAAAGACAACGCATTTGTTCAAAGCTCTGCATTTCTAGGTTTGCCCGTGAGTCAATTGTGAACTGTTTGAGAAAAACGTGTTGCGTTGAAACTGTGGCCCTACCCTGTCACCAAATCAATCCCAATGTGGAAATGGGCAACGTCGCTCTCGTCATAAATAAACTCTGACAAGTTCTCGGAATTTTTGGAGGATTAATGGATAGTGGAAGAAGGGTATGGGATAGGGACTGTCTGGAGAAATGTACAGTTCTTTTGTATTCATTTTTTCCAAAGGGGGGAATAAAAAGGTAAAGTATTAACCCTCTGAACACCCCCCAAATCAGTTTATGGTCCCATCGGAAAACAATGATACCTAAGCACCGGGTGATTGGTGTAGAGCTCACAGTTAGTCCCGGGGCCCTCTGCAGGAGGCACTGTGGGGACGAGCATTGTGCTGGGCAGGCTTTGTAGCTGGGCCAGAACTTGGGCTGGATTTTTTTGACCTTCCCTCCTTCCTGACCTTCAGGTTATGTGCTTAACCTGTACACCACCAGTCATAGCTTTTATCATATTATCTTTGCCTATTCAATTCTTTGTCTCTTTGTCCAACTTGTTTTACCCCAGAGACTTTGAGCTCTGTTTGAAGGAAACGACCATGATGTCTGGCTTCCTGACGCATCCCCAGTACCCAACACAGAGGACCATACGCTTACCGGAAGACTTTAGCGTGATTTTGTTGAATGAATAATTTCACACTGAAATTTTGTTAACATATTAGGTTACAAAGAGTTGGTGGCTGGTGCATTTAAAATACATAATTTTAGGGGTGCCTGGGTGGCTCAGTTGATGAAGCGACAGGCTCTCGGTTTTGGCTCAGGTCATGATCTCACTGGGTTGGTGAGTTCGAGCCCCTTGTGGGGAGCTCTGCTGACAGCCAGGGGCCTGTTTGGGATTCTGTCTCAAAATAAAAAAACTTAAAAAATACATAATTTTATGAAGCTAAAAATAATTCCCCCAAAACAATGGATTTAAGCGCAATGCTCGGAGAGAGGCTTAGTGAAAAGAATGAGGTGTTCTTTGGGATGGGGGGGCGGGGGAGAAGAGGGCAGGTATTTTCCTTTCATTTGATTTTGTTGGGGAGAGTGGAAGGATGTCAACCATGTCTGAATCTGTGCCTTTACCAGGCATTCACAAGTGCCCCATGATTGTTTGAACAGCAGTGTCTTTGCCGTGAATGAAATTGCCTTGTGTTCTACAGTCGCCTACTTGAAAGGGACCTTAGTGATTATCGTATCCCATGGTCCACTTTAAAGACGAAGAAACTGGGGCGCCTGGGTGGCGCAGTCGGTTAAGCGTCCGACTTCAGCCAGGTCACGATCTCGCGGTCCGTGAGTTCGAGCCCCGCGTCGGGCTCTGGGCTGATGGCTCAGAGCCTGGAGCCTGTTTCCGATTCTGTGTCTCCCTCTCTCTCTGCCCCTCCCCTGTTCATGCTCTGTCTCTCTCTGTCCCAAAAATAAATAAACGTTGAAAAAAAAAAATAAAGACGAAGAAACTGAGGCCAAGAAGATGCAGTCATTCTTTACTGGTAGGGCTGGGCCTAGATACCAGGTCCGCTGACTTCCAGACCGTGTCGGAAGGGTCACTAGTTCTTTTAAAAATAATCACTGCTGCTTTAATAGCATCAGCACCTGTTGTTTTAGCTTCCGCAAGGGAGAAGCTATTAATTTCTCCTTCATCAAAGCCGCATTTCTGGTCTGTCTGAACCTTGTTTTCCTCTTCACTGCAGCTGTCTGCACCCGTAAGGCCAAATGTTGAACAGAGGCACCTTTCTGCTTAAATCCAGTAAATCGCCACGCCCAAATATGGAAAGAAAAAATTCGACACAGATCATCTAGACAGTGGCCAAATTTATAATGCTTTCACCGAAGTCTCTTCATTCCACCTGGTGGAGGCCTGGAGCCCACCAGGCGCAGCCCCAGGCATGCGAACGCTTTCACACACACGTCCACGCTTGTGGCCCGTGACCAGCCGTGGCCAGGCCGCGAGCTGCTGGAAGCTGAGACAGTCACTTAATCTGAGCGGCAACTTCACCCTCTGTAAAATGGGAAGTGATTACAATCCTTCGCAAGGGAAGTCTTGAGAGTCGGATGGAAGGGCGAGGATCTTCAATAAGCAAGTGCAGTTTGCTTTTATTACGATTACTGCTGTTCCTGCGTTAGCAAGGCCCAGTTTGTTTGAGCTGCGTTCCTTCCCGCGCGGCCCGCCGCCCCACCGGCGTCGGAAGGTGAAGGGCTCCGGGCGTCTCGGGGCGTACCCGGGAGGAGGGAAGCCCGCGCTAGCGCGCATGCGCGCCCGGGGAGCCGCCGGCCCCTAATAAGAACGCCGTGCAGCGCCGCGGCGAGCCCAGTCGGAGCTGGCTTGGTGCCGGGCGCCGTGAGCGTGCGGGCGGCTGCCGCCCTCGGCTTCTTCCGCAGCCCGGAGGACCGAAACTTCCGTGGGAGGCTCCCATCGGTGCGCGCCCCTCCCGAGGGAAGCGGCGCCCAGCGGGAGAGGGAGAGCTGGACGGAGGCTGCCGGGCGCCCGTGGGAGCGAGCTGCAGCGGGAGAGGCGGAGCGGGGGAGCCGGGGGCGAGCCGCCCGCCTGGACCCGCGCCCAGCAGCAGCAGCAGCCTCGGCCGCCGCCGCCGCCAGCCAGGCAGGCTCCCGGGACCGCGGCGGGGGCGCGCCGGACCGTCGCCCACGTCCTGGACGCCGGCGTGCGCCGGGAGGATCGGCCGTCCGCCCCGCGGAGGGCAGCGCCGCAGATGTCACCAGAGAGGACACATACGGACCGAGTTCGGGGCTGGGGAGCCTGAGCGCGGCCGGCCGCTGCACTTGCTGCCCGGAGCCCTGCGCGCGCTGCCACCTTTCTGGGCCCCTTCTCGCCGCCCGAGAGGGCAGTAAAGGAGCGGAGCCGCTTCCCGACTTGCGCGCGGGACCACGAGGCCGAACCTCCGCGGCAACGACCTGGCTTCAGGTCGGCGGCGGGAGTGAGCGTCCCCTCGGGGATGCGTGCGGAGGCTCCCGTCGCGGGTGAAGCCTCCGGGGGCTGCGGGCCGGCGGCTCCTGGGCCCCTCTGACTCTGCGCCCAGAGCGTTCCATCAGCGAGGGCTCGCTCTCAAGGCAGCGCCCCCCGGGGACCGGCGAGCGGCATCCCGCCCCGGCCGAGGGAGGGATGACTTAGGACCCCTGCCCCAGCAGCCCGGCGTCGTCGGCTCCTGGACGTCGCGGCAGAGGACGAGAGGCCCGCTCGGGGAGCGCCGCGGAAGGCGTCCCAGTCCCGGCCGCCGCAGCACCGGGAGCCTGGTCGTCGGGGCCGCGACTTCCCGGAGACAGCTCTGCGCCGTCTGGAGCCTCGCCGCCCGCGCGCAGGGTGGTGCCATGTGGGGCGGACGCCGCTCGCCCGCCGCTTCCCCTCGGAACGCCGCTTCGCTCTTGCAGCTGCTGCTGGCCGCGCTCCTGGCGGCGGGGGCGCGGGCCAGCGGCGAGTACTGCCACGGCTGGCTGGACGCGCAGGGCGTCTGGCGCATCGGCTTCCAGTGCCCCGAGCGCTTCGACGGCGGCGACGCCACCATCTGCTGCGGCAGCTGCGCGCTGCGCTACTGCTGCTCCAGCGCCGAGGCGCGCCTGGACCAGGGCGGCTGCGACAACGACCGCCAGCAGGGCGCCGGCGAGCCTGGCCGGGCGGACAAAGACGGCCCAGACGGCTCGGCAGGTAGGGCGGGCGGGTCGGAGCGCGAGAGGGGAGGAAGGTTGGCTTTGCCCGCGCGGCACGGGCCCGGGAGCCCGGAGACCCGAGAGGAGTTAGGGGCGATGGAATTTCAGAAAAGGGCTTGGACCAGGAGGGGGCGGGGGGCGGTGGGGGGGGGGGCTCTGCATCCTGGAGCAGCTCTTAACTTGTGCTAAGCTTCACTGCCCTGAGCCTCAGTTTCCCTATCTGCCCCCTAAAGAACAGCTTGGCTTGGATTTTCAGAAGCAAACCACAAACATAAGGCAGCGTGGGGTGCAGACAGCCCCGCATTCCTCCTGGCCGGGGACCTCTGAAACCCTCTCCCATGCCTCCTGTCTCCATAGGTCTAACTTCTAGTAAGAGTGAGTGTCTTGGTGGGACCCCGGGAAACGGTGAGGGCGCGACCGCAGCGAGAGGTTTGGCGAGGGCCCTTCGTCCGCAGAGGCTCCGCAGAAGGCAGGCAGCTCCTCAGGGCTTTCCTGTGGGTGATGCACTTTAACAGACCCGGGAATTCTAATCCTCTGGAACACTTGGCTGCACGGCCCGGGCCTCTCTGGTTTCTGGACAGTTCTCTTTACCACGTCAGACTTAGTAGGTGTGATATTAAAACCGTGCCCAAGCTTGCTCTTCGTGGCTTTGGTTTTTTCAAATTAATAGTTTTTTTTTTTTCAAGTTGCCGAAGAGAGAGCACACATCCACAAACGAATTTGATGAGTTCCACTTCCTCCATTCTTCGGAAACCTTCCAGACCACCTCCCTTGAGGGTCTCCGCCCACGTACCGGAGGGAGGATTTAGCACCAGGGTAGAGGTGGAGGTCCGATGGCAAACACAGAATGGACGTCTCCTCCCTTTTCTGCAGCTGGTTATGTTGAGGACTTTTTAGCAGCGCTCTGAGCCAGGGTTTAAGCTACCTGAGCTTTGTTTGGCACTGAGTGGCACCTGTGTTTCCAGAACTGTCTCCTGGGCCTGGTAAGAGGCAGCTCTCTTCAGTGCTGTTCCCTTTGCAGTCAAGCATTTTATTAGCAAGCTACTCCTCTTGTCCCGCTGCCTTGAGTCTGAAGAGAGGAGAACGGAGGGTAGTTCCAGAAAAGGTGCCATTTTAAAGCTCCAGCTCCTCCAGCTCACGGTTGCAGGGCGTGTGACTGGGGAAGAAAGCCTTGAGAAACGAGCCAAAGACGGAACTGCTGCCTTGATGTATCTGCTAAGTTGGGCTCATGAGTGATCTCTAAAAAGTTGGGTTGAGGGGCGCCCGGGTGGCTCAGTCGGTTAAGCATCCGACTTTGGCTCAGGTCATGATCTCACACTTTCTGGGTTCCAGCCCCGCATCGGGCTCTGTGCTGACAGCTCGGAGCCTGGAGCCTGCTTTGGATTCCGTGTCTCCCTCTGTCTCTGCACCAGCTTGTGCTCTGTCTCTCTGTCTTTCTCTCAAAAATAATCAAACATTAAAAAAAAAGTTGAGAAAAAAAAGTTGGGTTGACTTTGGACAGACCAGAAGGCGGCTAGCTTCTTGTGAGGTGGACGCCTTCTTCACTCTTTTAAATCCTTTTTCCTAAACACTCTGTTCCACTGACTTCTCTTCTGCAGTCAAAACAGTCAACACGCCTAATCAGGCTGCGCCCAGGGTTTATGGGAGCACTGCGTTCTTTACCTCTCTGTGGTTATTTACACCCCCATGAAAAATCCTGGAAGGAAAACAATTCTTTCTCCCCAAAACTCATTCTGTGGACTTACACTGAACTCAGCTAGTTTCTGCTGTGATGTCTGGAGAATTTTTTTTTTTTTTGCTTTTATTTGTTTACATCCCAATAACCCATTTAGGGCTGGTACCCTAATTTAGAGAATGAGATAATTATAACGTGCATACGGAAAAGCCCAGCGTCCACTGCTCTGGTCCGTCATAGCTGGGCTGAAGAGATCATGCTGTTAGAACAGCACCCTCATCTGAAAACCCTCTGCGCTGCAAACTCTGTAGCAAGTGTTTCTACCTGCTGCCGGGGTGCGACATAAATAACAGTGTTCAGCACTGAAGGTTTAGGAAGTCTTCAGAGGTCAGCCTTTGGGACCTCCCTATAAAGTACGTTTTACTTAACAAGGCATTATTCCTCCAGGACTCCGTGTGGCAGTGTCTTCTAATAACACTGACTTGAGTCTCAGAGCTGGGCTTCTTCCCAGTTGCTGCCCTGCACCCCTGTGCTCTAGGCTTTGCCGAGACCAGCGAGCCCTAGTCCCTGTCCTTATGTAGTTTCCAATCGAAAAGCCAAGGCGACAGGCAGGAGCCCATCAGAAAACAGATTCTCGGTGACCCGGGGTAGAATTCCAAAGTGGCTCTGAAGCACCGTGCAGCCTCCTGTCTCCCGATTCTCTGTCCCCGGCAGCCTGCGTCTAGCTTCTGAAAGTCCTGGAGTGCCATCCCCAGAGCTTCCAAAAGATCGTTCTCAGTACAACAGTGTAAAAATGGAACTCGCTGCCAACTTGAGGAAAGCTTTTTATTTTCCGCTTGTACGTTATTTTTCAGAAGAAACCTTACTCTTTAAATACGATGCACGCTGCTCCACGGTCTGCAGGCTTTCCCTGGAGTTCTTCATACAGAACCCAGTGTTGTTAACTGCGGGTGTAACTGCCCTACTGCAGCCACCCTGGCCCTGCCTGGGTCCCTTCTTGATCATGGGGGCTGCCCTTCTCCCTGGAACAGATGTCCTATTGCTCCCAACATTTGTTCTGTTCGGTACCTTGTTTCATGCTGACCTGCACGTGTCTGGAATAGCTTCCCTTTATTGCGAGTCACGTCACCTTTCCACCATCCAGTGCCCACGGGGGGGCGGGGGGGGGGGCATGGCCCAAGGACCAGCCCTCAGCGAGGCAAGTGTGTGTGGTGGTTTTTTGTATTTTGTTTTTTGTTCTTTTTTTACCCTTTGATGACCCCTGTGCCTTGTGTTACAGATTTGGAAACGGCTGTGGCTAGACCCAAGTTTTTGATTTACTTGCCTGTGAAAAAAATAATAGCTCAAGAATGGCAAGAGATGTCTACAAAGTACATAGCTCCCAGGGGGTGTGTGTGGGGGGGGGGGAACCACTCTTAAATAATTTAATTCATTTCTTTTTTAAAAATATTAAAAAACTTTTTTTTTAAATGTTTATTTTTGAGAGAGAGAGACAGAGTGCGAGCAGGGGAGGGGCAGAGTGAGAGAGTGGGAGACCCTCCGAGCCATCAGCACAGAGCCCGACGCAGGGCTCGAACTCACAAACCCCACAGGATCATGACCTGAGCTGGAGTCAGACACTCAACTGACTGAGCCACCCCCAGAAATTTAATTCATTTCTATGCAGATCCGACAAGTATCTGTTAGGGCAGACTTAAGTTCAGGCAGTTCAGTTACTGTAGGAATTTTAGAAGTCTCAAAACATTCAATTCGTATTTTTGCTAAATTGGACATTCGTCTCAGTGTTGCAGTTGGTGAGCCTCAGCTGTGAACGTTAACAGTTTTGCTTTGGGGGCCGGTCCGCCTACAGGGCCCTACTGCCCTCCCTGCGTACTTGATGAGGGACCGGGCATCCTGTGGGCCGCTAGAAAGCAGAGACTGGCCCAGCCTGGGTCCTTCGGTTACGGGTATGGGCGTGGCGCGCTTACGCCAAGCGCTGATCTTTTACTGCGTTCTTACAGTAAACGATGATCCGTTTTTTATCCTTCAGTCCCCATCTACGTACCGTTCCTCATCGTTGGGTCCGTCTTCGTCGCCTTCATCATCTTGGGGTCACTGGTGGCAGCGTGTTGCTGCAGGTGTCTCCGGCCGAAGCAGGAGCCCCAGCAGAGCCGCGCCCCCGGAGGGAGCCGCCTGATGGAGACCATCCCCATGATCCCCAGTGCCAGCACCTCGCGAGGGTCGTCCTCCCGCCAGTCCAGCACGGCTGCCAGCTCCAGCTCCAGTGCCAACTCGGGGGCCCGGGCGCCCCCAACGAGGTCACAGACCAACTGTTGCTTGCCCGAGGGGACCATGAACAACGTGTATGTCAACATGCCCACAAATTTCTCCGTGCTGAACTGTCAGCAGGCCACCCAGATCGTGCCCCATCAAGGGCAGTTCCTGCACCCCCCCTACGTGGGGTACGCGGTGCAGCACGACTCGGGGCCTATGACTCCTGTGCCCCCCTTCCTGGACAGCCTGCAGACGGGCTATCGGAAGATCCAAGCCCCCTTCCCCCACACCAACAGCGAGCAGAAGATGTACCCAGCTGTGACCGTGTAGCTCAGGGTGCCCGCCGGGTTCCTGCACGGGACAGGAGCCACGGGGAAGCCGGGGATGCGGGAAGAATTCTCTAAGTGGAAGTCCGCCCGTGTGGCTGGTGTGGACGGCCCGATTCTCTTGGATGGCTTCGTTTGCCCCCGGCCGTACGAAAACGTCTCTTTCCACGTTAGCCTTTCTGGATGTTGTTTCATCCCGGTGCGTGATTGATTTATGATGGAAAAAAAGCATCATCTGGAGATGCCCGTGTTGTTGCCCGTGGTTGTGTGACAGACACTTGAGGCCGTAAGGGCCCTTGAGGTACGACTGCCGGAAGGATTTTGTGAACGGACAGATTGAGGGTTTCTATTGTATCCTTGCGATTATTTCTTTTTTGTTTCTTACTGTCCAAGATCGGAATACCTGTTCCCTCCCTCTTACCTGGGTAAGAGTTTTATAAGCATCCAAGGTTCAGGGGAAGATGTAAAGACAGAATTATTATAAAAGGAGATCCAGTTCGAACTCCCTGAGCTGGGTCCTTGATCTCAGTGTTTCACAGGCACATCTTAATTTCATTGTAAAAAGATAGATATATTTTGTCTATTTTTGTGCTTTTTTTTTTTTTTGGTCTATTTTGTGCTTTTTTACCTTGTGTAGAGATCTTATTACAAAGTGATTTTCTACATTAAAAAGAGACTGAAAGAAATTGTATAGTTACTTAACTAATGACATTTCAGAACTCTGGGACTATTTTAATCTTTTAAGTAGCGGGTGGTGTAGTAATACAACCGTTCATCTCATTCCTGATCGTATCATCTAATTTTCTGACTTTATAGTGACATCTGAGAAGAGCGTAATTAGATGTTTTTATATTGAAATCATAAGTTACCACCTGCTACTTCTCCAAGTGAGTTGGAATTTTACCGTGTGGTATGGCTTGGCATTTTGTTCTATTCGGTTTTCGGATCCCCATGTCTATATGGTACCATGTGCGGGTAATTACTGTTATAAATGAAGATCAGCATTTCTGCCTAGATCTGATAAAACATTTTCTTGTTTTCCTATAAAAATTCAAAGAAATGCTTTACAACGATACTTAGTATAACTTCTCAGCCATAATCTGAGACTTGGGATGAAATTTACACCACAAATACAATATACTTTGCAAATCATGAGGCTTTTCATACTCTTGTTATCAGAATGGCTTATTTTTCAGGCGGGGGCGGGGGGGGACTACTGAGTCACGAGAAAAGCTTTTCAAAGAGATCTTGCCTTTCTTCCCTCACAGTTAGTTTTTGTTTTCCTCCCTCTTACAGTCCTCAACAAGCACTGTATTCATTACTAATGTTCTGAGTTATGAAATTCAAGTGAATCTGTACTGTTTGCTTAAAAGAAGTAAGTTTAAGTATGTGCAACTGTATTTCCATCTGCTGGCACAACCAAGATTTGCAATTAAACCATTTGTAAGGTATGGTCTTTCACACATTTATATTTATATCTATAGTTTATATATCCAACTATCCATCCATTTTCTGTCTACCCTATTTTTCGCTCAGCTCTCTCTCTGTTCTCTCTCTCTCTCTCATGACTGAATGATATAAAACCATTGTTGGCAATTGGTATCCATGAAGACGCTCAAAATTAAAAAAAAATTTTTTTTTCAACGTTTATTTATTTTTGGGACAGAGAGAGACAGAGCATGAACGGGGGAGGGGCAGAGAGAGAGGGAGACACAGAATCGGAAACAGGCTCCAGGCTCCGAGCCATTAGCCCAGAGCCCGACGCGGGGCTCGAACTCACGGACCGCGAGATCGTGACCTGGCTGAAGTCGGACGCTTAACGGACTGCGCCACCCAGGCGCCCCAACGCTCAAAATTTTTTAATAACAAAGGCAGGGGAATCCTTTTACTTATTAATAAATATTTTATGGTATGAATTCCAAGGGAGTTGGGTTTTTTTTTTTCATTTTTGTTTTACTTGGTAACTCTTCGGATGGTCTTTTAAACTTGTTAATGTGATAAAACTGCTAAAAATTATAAAGAATTGCTCTCTAGAACCAAGAGCATACCTTTAAAAGTAATGTCTTGGAAGTTTCTATGTACGTTCTGTGAGTATTGACACAAAAGAGAGTCTTTGGGATTACGGTATTATCAGGTTCATGTATGTTCCACACATTGTCTTTGATGGAGGATTCTGGGTTATCTAAGAAGTAAACTTCCTAGAAGCTTGGAGGTGAAAAGGACCTCAGAGATCACTCAGCCTAGGGATTGGCAAATTTTTTTTTTTTCCCGGGAAAGAGCCAGAGAGTAAATACTTCAGGCTTTGCACACCAGATGGTCTGTACCAACTATTCAACTCTGCCACTATCACACAACAGCAGAGGGGTATGGCCGTGTTCCAATAAAACCTCACTGATGGACACCGACATTTGAATGTCATACAATTTTCACGTGTCACAAAATACTTGATTTTTTTTTTTTCTCAATAACTTCTAAGTGTAAAAACCATTCTAAACATTCGGGCTGTAAAAATGAGGCAGTGGGCTAGGTTTGGCCATTGGTCTTAGCTCACCAACCCCTAATCTAGTCATTCCTTACCTGATTATTTGGAAGGAGTCCCTTTATGACATTTTCACAGCTTTTTTTTAAAACATACAGTGCCAGCTTCTCTAAAATTGTGTAACTTTTCCTTCCTTTCTACATAGTACTAAATATGATTAAAGCAAAAATGCGCTTTAATAAACGAAATGAGTTCTTCACTTAGTGCTGTGTGGTCTTCCCCCAAATATAAATAATATCATTGGACGCACCCTCAGATCTTTTCAATTTTGATAAAAACTAGAGACGTTTAGCTGTCAAAGTAAAAGGTTCAGATACCTGGTTTAAGGATACCTTCCTTACTGGCATGAAATCGGAATCTGTAAGGTATAATTTGCACCCAGTAGAACTATTTTAAAGTTGTGCTGGGGAAAAAAAAAAAAAAGAAAGCAGTTAGGAAAATAGTTTGCTGCTGTACATTTTCTTCTGTATGTAAACCTTCAGCATTGAGTCATGATGGCTCTGGGGACTGTATCCCTGTATCCCTCTGTATGGGAAGGTCAGACCCTCTGATTGGAAGGAGGAAGAAATGAACCAGCTCTTTCTGTCCATTGAAGGGCCAGGAAACTACTCATCTCCTAGCATTCCTGCTATGGCTGGAAAAGTTACAATTTAACAATAATGTCAACGTCCAGAGTGGCTAGAAGACCGTTGAGACAAATGCAAGTGGGTTTGGCGTATTTCCTCGGCCATGCTCCCCGCTTCAGGCTAGCGCTCCACTTCTGATTACGATCCTAGATGCTTGACTAATATTTCATAGGGTGAATTTACCTTGAGCTCTTTTTTTCTCAGGCTTGCACAACTTCGCGAATTCTATGATCTTTTCTCCTTTTCTCCTTATTTTGATACAAATTAGAATTTAAGTTTCCATCAGAAGTATTTCCTGGGGAAACCTTGAAAATTGGAACAAAGCTGGGGAGGAAAAGTCAGGGCGGATGTCCCCAAATGGACTGGACCCAGGGGAGAAAAATTAAAGTGGTGCTAACAGTTGGGACAGGGAAGGGTTTGGCCCCTGCCTAGTGACAGCACTCGCACATACTCCTGGATTGTGGTAAAGGCTCTGTTTCCCGCAAATTCACATTATGTCTGACACACGTCTTCGCCGTGAGTCACTCAAGTCATTTAAATGAATACACAGAATGCTAGCTTTTAGTTGCTTAATTAAGCCTTTTAAGTGCTTAAAAGGAATGCGCTTGTTTCTGTTTAAGGGACTTCAGAATCAAGACTTCCCACTAACTTAGCCCGGGCCTCCTCCAGTCCCAATTGCAGCGTTAGGATGTACAATGTGTATTCGCCTGCACTGTTCACTGCAGGCCTCGACTCGAGGTCTGTGCTTGGTGAAGCTTGGCGCAGTTTGGGGAGAGGGGTTACGACGGGCAGGCCCAGACATCGGACGAACCCTGTCAGTCATCAGGATGGAAAACAAGCAGCCCAGGAACCCGGCCGGCCCTACTAGATGTTGCTGAGTTGCCGCTAAGTAAATAATGTAACGGCTGAGGGGACTTTCTAGGATTTTAAAACATTTTAAAACACTTCCCCGTTCTGCTGATTTCCCTTGCCTCTTGAGTAGGACACAAGGAAAGCGCGTGAGCAAGCCGTATGATCTCGAGTGGAGGAAGCTCAAGGCAGGGGGTGGTGGTGGCTGTGGCTTTGACAACCCAGGGAAGTGTGTGGGCTCCCTGGGGCCTGCCCAGGGAAGGGCCTGGGAGCCCGGGGAGTGGGTCTGAACTTTTAGACCCAACTTTTAGAGTTTTCTTTATTTTTTTTTTTTATTTTTCAATATATGAAATTTATTGTCAAATTGGTTTCCATACAACACCCAGTGCTCATCCCAAAAGGTGCCCTCCTCAATACCCATCACCCACCCTCCCCTCCCTCCCACCCCCCATCAACCCTGTTTGTTCTCAGTTTTTAAGAGTGAGAGCCCCTTTCCTTTTTAAAAGGAGCAGCCTAAATATTGCCAGGAGGAATAAATCATGCATACAAATGAGAACACCATTTCTCATCACTCAACCTTAATCCTCCTTTTCTTTTCCTTCTTATTTGGTAGAGCCGTGAGGACATTTCCATTCTGCTACCCCTCACCCTTTCTCTCTGTTTTTTTTTTTTGTTGTTGTTGTTGTTGTTTTTAAGAGCCAGAGATCAGCTATTTTCATTCAGTCCATTCATTCCAAGATACACAGAAAATTTCTTTGCCTTCTGCAATGTTTTTCTTAATTGAAAACATGCATGTTACTGTGCTTCAAGTGCCTTGAAGAGGTTGAGTCAGTGAGAGATGACAAAGGGTTAGAAATTATTACCTCTTTTCCTGAAAATTGAAGATGGGCTAGGTAAACAGTTCTTACGTAGTGCATGATTTGCCCTGGATTTTCTTTGCCCTCTGTTCTTCTTGGATAGAATCCTTTGTCAGTGAAAATGGAAGAATAAACCCCTAGAGACACGGTTACTCCTGTCCAAGATGTTCAGTATTTCTGACTATTCACTATAACCCCACAGCAACCAGGACAGAATAACTTTGAGATAAAATTACAGTTTTATGGAGGGAGGTGGCTGTGTGGGGTCATTGTGCCTTTCACAGTTAAGGCTTCAGAATGCCTCCGACATTTACACCCCCAATCGAAGGAACTGGACTCAAGTCAAGAATAGGAAGTTTAAGGGCACCTGGGTGGCTCAGTCAGTTAAGCAACTGACCCTTGGTTTTGGCTCAGGCCACGATCTTACGGTCTGTGGATGGAACCCCAAGTCGGTCTTCACACTGACAGCACGGAGCCTGCTTGGGACTCTCTCCCCCTCTCTCTGTCCCTCCCGCACTTTCTCTCTCTCTCAAAATAAATAAATAAAAAAAAATAAGAAAGCGTTTAATCGAGGGATGATAAAAGGGGTAAACAGTTTATGGTGGCGGCCTTAAGATTGATTTCAAACATCAAACTTGCATCTTGGTTTCAACCATCTTGAAATGTAGGTATTTTCATTTAGAAAAATCATAGGTTACACAAGACATTATTTACTGAGGAGACATAACAGCTGTAGAAGACTGATTGCCATCTGTAACATGTATATAAAATTACCACATGTGTGTATACATATGTGTACAGAATGATCACAGGAAAATCTGAAACAGAAATAACTTATTATGTGAGGCTATCTCATCCAACACTCTGTTCTCAATTCTTGACTGATTTTTTTTAAACTGGAGCTGGTTTGCAGCGCTCAGCTTTCCTTGTCTCAGCCAGAACTGGTTGTGTCCAACTTCCTCTGGAGTCGGACGGACCTATGTTAGAATCCACCCCTAACACCAATGGTGAGCGTTCACGTCTCTGAGCTCAAGCGTGCCTTCTGGAACAGGGGATCCACCACACCCACCTCCTAGGGTCGGTGCGGAGATAAAGAATATAACATAGTGGCATCTATGAAGTGTTTATAATACATATATAATTTAATTTCTTTTCAGATATTTTCAACCTGCCTGATACAAAGAAATACATAATGTATATTGACAAAATATGTCAACTACAGATAGAGAGATAGATGGAACATTATAACAGAACTATGTTAGATTTTCCTTATTTTTGTTTCAATAACCAGTTTTACCTGGGTTAGTCTATATTTCTAATGTTTTTAGGTTGCCCAAGAGACGTGCACAGAACTGGCTTTCTCTGAGCCTTGAATCAGTACCGTTCTCTGTAATGCCCTAAGCGGCCTGTCTTAGTTCTCTGTGCTGTTGCTTTGTAAATTCACAGGCTTTCTCTCCTCCCTATATGTCTGCTGTGTTTAGCTACACCTACAGAACCTTTCTAGTCTGCCAGTTGGCATCTCTCTGTACCAACTGGGGTCCAGTCAGGAACACAGATTGAATCATTTTAATTTTCCACTG